GGATTTTTTGCCCACAAACCACTCTCTTCCCAACCTGCCATTTGCCTGAAACACCTACCATTTAAATAGCTTTTAGGGGGTGAAGGCATGGAAAGCCTATGCTTAAATTATTTTTTTTGGAAAATAACAAAATATACTACCACCAGTCCCTAACACCTTAACATTCAAATAACTTATCAAAATTATTAAGAATAGACACACGAGGAAGTGGGATACAGAATATATAAACTTTAATGGGGGGGTGGGAAGGGAAGAACTTAGCTTCTCAATGAATGTTACACTGGCACTTTGGGCAGACAATTATTTCTTATGGGGGGGTCTGTGCTATATATTACAAGATATTTAGCATCTCTAGCCACCACCCACTAAATGTCAGTATTGGCTCCCATTTATAACAATTAAACCAACCCTCTGTCATTTTCGAATACCCCTAAGGAGGTAGAACACCTCCACTCTGTCAACATTTGAAAAGCATTTGATATAATAATCTGTAGAGGACAGGAAAGGTTGGAAGGACCTGAGCAGCCAGAGAATATGAAGACACTAGGTTTGGAATAGAAGTTGTTCACATCATATGTGTGTTGGAAAGATGAGGACGGCAAAGGGTTTCTTCTACTATGGATATTCTAGAAGAATGAGAATTGTCTGAGAGACCATTGCTAAGTAGGATCAATGCCTGTTCTGTTCATAGGAAGCTGAGGTCTCTGAAGTTTTACCAGTGACTGGCTAGGTGGAAGAGGAGGCCACTCTTTTGATCAGAGGGGCATCAGGCCACCCAAAACTACCATGCTAGCATGCCTGTCCCAAGACCTAGAATCTTCAACTAAGAGTCCCTGTTGAGGAAGTCATCACTGAAAATTGTCTGTCATCTGAAAGGAGGGCTTCTCTAAGAGGAGGACCATGCTAAAGAATATCCTGGTCTCCTTGGACAGAAGATTTGTGGGATAACTCTGTAAACCCCATTCACCAAAAGAACCTCTTGGAAGATAAAGTAAGAGATAACCCCCACCCCTGGCTATTAAGAAACGTTAGAACTTGGAGTCAACTGCTCCTTTATAACACAATAGTTTGGGGAGAGGAGAAGAATATGAGCCTATGGCAAGAGTTGGCCCCAACACGGCCCTGAGCTTTTTGGAGGAGGCTGAAAAGAATTCCAGACACTGGCATGAGAAATCAAACTCAAAGCAGTCCCAGTTTTGCCAGGGGTTTGTCATGATCTAGATTTTTACCAAACTCAGGACCTCCCTTCCCACTCCTAAAAGCTCGTGTCATTGCCCTAGAGACACCAAACAATGAAGAGGTCCAGTAATGCATCAATAGATGTTCTTACCTGAGATGTCCAGCTACATCTTCCCCGAGCATCTCTTGCATGCGCCATTTTTAGACACTGACTGACTGCCTTTTCCTCCATACCCTCAGTATTGAGGCACCAGTTGTGCTGTGTTTGAGCAGAAATGGGTGGATCTGAGAGCTGAATAATAAATGGTATACTGCCACAACAACCTAGGAGTTGAATTGAATCACTCAGTGGTCAGTGTGGCAACATCTTACTCCCATCAATCATAGAACTGTCTAATAGCACAACAGTCTTTTTTTCTTATCCCCCAAAAGTCCCCATAGGCATTCCTAGATTAACATACAACATGCTCTACAGGATTCTGAATGCATGGAAGTGCTCAAAGAGGAAACAAATTTGAAATAGAAGCCAAATTTAATTTTGAAAAATACCATGCCTATCAGTAAATGAGTGGATCAAAAAACTGTGGTACATTTACACAATGGAATAATATACAGCAGAAAGAAAGAAGGAACTCCTACCCTTCGTGACAGCATGGATGGAACTGGAGAGAATTATGCTAAGTGAAATAAGCCAGGTGGTGAAAGACAAATACCATATGATCTCACCTATAAGTGGAACCTAATCAATAAAACAAACAAGTGAGCAAAATAGAACCAGAGACATGGAAATAAAGAACAAACTGACAGTGACTAGAGAGGAGGGTAGAGGGAGATAATGGGGAAAGAAGGGGAAGGGTCAAGTCAAGGAATACATATAAAGGACCCATGGTCAAAGACAATAGGGGTGGGGGAGGATAGAATGTGGGAGGTGGGGGTGGATAGGGGAGAGTATTGGGGGGAAAATGGGGACAACTGTAATCGAACAACAATAAAAGAAATTTAAAATACCATCCCAATTGAAGGTATCTGCAACGTCTTTGAGTAGGTTCTCTGTTCAGGGATAAGGAATAGGCAGAAGAAGAACCTGACCCCTCCCTTTAGCCACAGGGACCTAAAAGGCAGTGGGGCTGGAAACCATTTCTGGGACAAAAATCCTCCAAAAGCTCTGTCCCAGCTGGCCAGCTATACAAAGTGTATCTTGTTGGGCTGGGTACCCTAGTGCCCATGACCCAGAGCTATGGATAGAATAGACATTTTGCAAAATCACCATTTTGAGAGTAGTGTTGCTGATAGTAATAACTCACATTCATTGAATGGTTACTACACAGAAGGCTTCCTAGTACTTCATAAGTATCATCTCATTAAATTTGCACAGTAGACCTATGAAGTAAGTAAGTAGCCCCATTTTATAGATGGAAAAACTGAATCTCTGAAAGGTCAAATGATTTGAATAAGGTTAACAAGCCAGCCAGAAAGTAGAAGGAGAAGGAGTAGAACTAATTGGAGGTTTCCACAGGGGCTCCAAAACTATTCATCTGGAAAAGCAGAGAGAAGCACATGCCTACATTGTATGGAGGAAAATGGGGAAGGACTGAAATTCTCAAGATGTAGAGATCTAAGGATAGTTATAATGGGGCAAGGAGGTGGAAGAGAAAGCCTGCCTTTTTGGAGGTGATTTTCCCTGTCTCCAAGCCAAGAGCTGGTCCTACTTCACCCTGTCTTCTATGTGGCTTAAGTCGCAAAGATAGTACAGGTCTCATGGTCTTCAAGAAATACTTGGAATGTTTTATGATCAAGGAGCATGTTTTCACTAATCAAGTGTTTTGGTGCAGAAGACCTCTTTTGATTTGGTCATCCCAAAAGAGTAGATGCCTTAAATTATTTGCCCTGCCTATACCAGACATTTTGAAGAATGAGGCAAATGGCAAGTAAATAAGCTACTTAATAAATACTTATTTGTTCATAGATATTCTTTCTAAAGTTCTTCTAAGAAATGTCCTGAGTGCAAGCCACATTGAGTTCAATAACCTACACCTTCTTCTTCTCCATTTCCAGGTCTAGAATAGTCATTGTTGGTCATAAGATCCTTTGGCCCTGCATCTCTGAGCTCCTCACCAGCTACATTCAACCAAGAGATGACCTTGTATCATAGCAGGTACAAAAACGAATTTGTGGTTTTGAATTCAGACTGGCCTGGCCTGGTCTATGGGCAGTTGAAGACATCTTGATTTGGGGACCAAGCCTAAAATTTTTTTCCAAAATATATTGGCAAGGCCTTTCTAAATTCAGCCCTTTCTGGAAAAAATGAGAAGGACTTTAAGCCTACAGACAAAGAATGTACTGAAAAGACTAGTAAGGAGTGTAAGTTTTAAAAAGGAAGAAACGTCATGTGATTATTGTCATCTACAATCTAAGAGAGCAGTGTACTCTTTCAGTTAATTGCAACAAGTGAGGTCTTGGGCCAGGACATTTTCGGTGATGGAAACTCACAGATTTACTGTTGCTGCTGATGTTGATAACAGTGTTTATAGGGATTAAAACTTACAGTGATTTATATTATTTTGCCATTATTTTCACATACATTATGTCAGTTGATTCCCCATGAGACATATAAAAGAGTGTTACTGTTCTACCATTTTTAAGAGAGGCATAGAGTGAGAGATTCAGATACTTGTCTAAGGTAACTAGTACGGAGCAAAATTTGATTAGAGGGTGGAATTGATAAAAATCTCCTCTTGAATGGTGTTTCCTGTTACACAAGTGTTCAGGGACTCTGGTGAAGAGATGACTCAGCATGCCCAAAAGACTAGTGATTGCTGAGACAACACTGGCCAAGGTGTGGTTCCTCCAAGCTAACATTGTTCTTCACCTCTGCCCTAGGGCCTCCTCCAGTCTACTGAACTGGTTTTCCCTCTATCTTTCTACCAATTAAAATCTTCCCTTTATTTCAAGGTCAAACTAACTACATCCAACTATTTCAAATCATATTGATTTGTCTCTTCTCTGAATTCCTTGTTTTGGATTATACATCGTTTTGAAAATCTAATGGAAGCTACAGATCTTTTCCCTCAAGGAATATGTGTTGGCATATGTGCTTACACACTTATGCACACACAGAGAGAAACACACACACTTTGAGTATACAATTTTAAACCTTGGGATAATTTAAAGATGCGATTACCCTTAAGGTCATATGGAGAAAACCTGGGAATGGGCAGCTTGCAGGTAGAATCATTCTCCTCATTTGACTTTCACACGCCCTCCCCTTGCACCAGACCCTAGCCTACCCTTCTTATCCTCTATCCTATAGCTTCCTGCTTCCTTTGTTTAGCCAGAGTTCATCACTATTTTGGCCCTTTTCCACCTATTTGGGACTCTTATCCCACCAGGACTCAGTCTGGTGCAATGAGCTAGCTCACTTGACAGGCAGATCCCAGATATTAAGTTTGAGAGAGATCTACAGATCAATTAGGACATGAATTTGAATTAGGGTCTTCTGGAAATAATAGTGAGAAAGATTTTTTTGGAGGGGAGGAAGTCCTTTCAGAACTGCTCATTTCACCTATGAGAAGGACCATTCCTGTCTAATCCGGAATACCTGATATGCTTGATGTTGACTTACACAGAATTAAGATAACAGGCTATAATTGAATATGAAGAGAGTCAATTATGTGATGGCATTCCCTAAGCAGATATCTTCACATTCTTTGTATCTGAGGCTCTGCCACTGTTGTCACTGGCTAACCATTCCTTCACACACTGACTTCAATAATTTATGCCAGAAATACTAAAGGGGAATTGTTTAGGAATAAAGCTCTTACAGTTATTGGATGTGACTCCTTTTTATCAGAGAAGGACCACTGGATGGAAAGATTGTCCCGGGAGGCCACAGTGCTGGTGTAGGTGCAGATGAGAGTGACATTAGATCCAACAGTCACATTCAGGACACCATGTGGGATGGTCACTTGCACCGCACTAACTTGACCTGAAAAGATAATCATCAAAAACAATGGTATACACTCACATTCTGATTACTTTTTTTCATTACAAAACATTTTCAATGACATCTTATTTGAGGAATCCAAAGTGAAGAGCATAAAGTAGAATGAACCATATAGGAAAGCTGAACAAGCAATTGGCATGGGGTAAGGGAGTTTTTTTAACAAATTACTATGTGAATATACTCAAATCCTATGTGATGGTGAGGTGATAGCACTGGACTGGGAATTTCTTCTGTGTAAGAATGACCTCGGTCACTTCTTGTCCTTTTGGTTAAGATCAAGTGAAGAATAGCTTTGGACAGAGGTTCTAAAAATACTTTCCAGGGACTCACAAAGGTCCTTGAGTATGAAGAACAACCATTCCAGTTTTTCCAGAACTAAGGGGTTCCCTTAGACATGGGACTTTCCATTTTAAGACCAGGTCTCAGTGTTTAAACCAGAAAAATCCCAGGAAAACCAGGATGAGTTTGTTGCCCAGTCTGTAAGACCATTTTGTTAACTAATAGATAAAAATTATGTTCATAATACTAAGAAGTTATTTTCTTTTTTCACTTTCATCCTCTCATCCATATACAATGAAATGTTCTAGGAGCTACACAATAATGATGTCACTGCTCTGGTAACTAATGGAATGTGTGCTTCTATATTTTCGTGTTAAACTTTTTTTTTGTTTTACTCACTAATACAGTAAATATAAATAGAAATAACCCACATAGAAAAAATTCCTTGGGGTCCCCAATAATTTTTAATTAAAAATGTATAGAATTAAATGCATATGTATACACACAAGTAAAAGTAAAAATGGACAAATATGAATAAGATCTGTAGATTGTATCAATGTCAGCGTCCTGGTTGTGCTATTATACTATAGTTTTACAATACATTACATGGTGGGTAGGGTTGAGTAAAGCATGCATGGGATGTCTATCTTCTTAAAAAGTTTAATGACTGCAGGATCTGCAGTGATATCCCATATTTTATCAATGATATTGATGTTATCTGTCTAATTTGTTTTTATTTTCACCAGTCTTGCTAGAGGTTTGTCAATTTTATTTATTGATTCTTTTCTAAAGAACCAGATTTTTTATTTCATTTAATTTTCTCTATAGTTTACTTATTTTAATTTCACTGATTTCTGCTCTTTTTTATGTCTTGAATTCTGTTTTTAATAGAAATTTAAAAAGAGATGCCTATGGTTTGGAAGGTAAGGTGATCTTTTTGGTCTCTCTTTTGTACAGAATACATTTCATTTTAAACCTAGTGCCCAAACCTTTTGGTTCTTCTATCAAATGATTACTAAAGTGCCATGAAAACAGTAAGGTATTTGCACAGGTGCCTCTGTTCAGCCCAGTTCTTCAAACTTCTTGGCATCCAAGATTAGGAGAAAATTGTTTTTCTCCTGGTTGGGGGTGATCAACACAGAAAGAATAACTCCATTATCTTCTTTATTGTTTCTGGTATTAGGAAAAAAAAAAACAGATTCTGAAGACTAAAAGCCATTTTCTCTTCAAACCATCAGTTACTTGTTCACCACATCAACCTTGATTAGGAAGATCCCCCAGCAAATGCTGAAAACCACAGCCATAGAAGAAATGATACTTTTTTTTTTTTTTTTTTTTTTTTTTGCCACTGAACCTACCATAGTGACTTCAGCTCTTAATTAGTTCCTCATTTCTGGTTGTTTTGGGATTATTTTGTCCTTTGTTTTCTAGATCTTTGATGTAGAAACTAAAATTAATGACATGAAAATTCTCTTCATTTCAAGTGCAAGCATTAGGTATTATAAATTTCTCTCTTAGTAGTGCTTTAGTTGCATGTTACATATTTCTACATGTTATATTTTTATTTTCATTCAGTTTATGTACATTTTTAATTTTTTCTTTGACACTTCATCTTGATCCATATATTATTTAGAAGTGTATTGTATAATTTTCAAGTATTAAAAGAGTTATTATTTTTCAGTTCTTCATTTCTAGTTGGATTGCATTGTGATTAGAGAACAGACTCTATGTTATTTCAATTTTTAAAAATAATTGATGTCTGTTTTATGTCCAAGCACATGGTCTATTTGGTAAATGTTCTTGGGTGCTTGGAGAAAAAAGTGCATTCTGCTGTTACTTGGTGAAGTGTTCTATACACAGAGATATACTTTAAAACATTATGAATACTCACCAAGATAGACCAAGTTATAGACCATAAAAGAAACCTTAATGAAGTTAAAAGAATTGTAATACAATGTTTACTCTCAATCACAATGGAATTAAAGGAGAAATCAATAACAAAGAAATTACCGGAAAGTCCCAAAATACATGATGACTAAATAACATGCTTCTAAATAACAAATTGGTCAAAAAGATATCTAAAAAGAAAGTTAAAAATATCTTGAACTAATTGAAAATGAAAATACAACTTATCTAAATTTATGGTATGCAGTAAAACAATCCTTAGAGGGAAATTTACACCATTGCATATATATTAGAAAAGAAGAAAGAACTAAAATAAATCATGGAAGATTGTACCTTAAGGAACTAGAAAAAAAGAGCAGATTAAATCCAAAGCAAGCAGAAGAAAAAAATAATGAAAACTGTTAATAATAATATTAATAAATAATAAAGGGTAGAAATCAATGAAATTGAAAAATAAGAAATTAGAGAAAACCAATAAAACCAAAATGAGTTATTTGCAAAGATCAATAATATCGATAAGACTCTAGCGAAGCTAAGAAAAAAATACAGAGGACACAAGTTACTAATACTAGAAATGAAGAAAAAGCCATCACTACAGATTCTATGGACACTAAAAAGATAATAAAGAAATACAAGAACAACTCTATGTCCATAAATTCAACAACTTAGGTGAAACAGACCAATGTCCTGAAAGACACAATATTCCAAAACTCACACAAGAAGTAAACAATTTGACCAGGTCTGTATCTATTTTATATTTATTAAAGACATTGAATTAATAATCAATAACCTTCCAAAACAGAAAGCACAAGGCCCCGATGGTTTTACTTTTCAATTCTACCAATTCTCTATAACCTCTTCCAGAAGATAGAACAGAGAGAATATTTCATAACTTGTTCTATGATGGCTGCAGGATTAGGGTCATTCTATGACGGCTACAGTTTTGAACTCAAAGACAATACTTGAAGAGAACCTAAGGAGTCACAAGGACCTCTTCTCAGGACTAAACTGGAATTGCGACTAAATAGTGGAGAAATGACCTGGAAAACAACGGAACAATAGAGGGAGAGGAGCCTTGGAGCTGCGGACAGACAGTGGATTCAACTCTCACACATCCTAAGGAGTGAGAAGTGCGGTGGAGGCTTGAGAGGGTGGGCAGGGCACCCACGGGCACCAGCACCAGAGGGATATTGAAACGGCCAGTTGGATCCCCCTGAGAAAAACAGGGTCTGAACCATAAACAGGGACCCCTAGACTGCAGCAGCTGAAATCAGGAAAACACACAGACAAAATGCAACCCCAAAAAGCTTAGGGGTGTTCTCTACCAGAGACAGGCAGCTGGAGATGCAAAGAGACATTTAAAGGGCTAACACAAAAATTTGCAATGGCAGCCGCCTTCTTTGATCTCTGGGTGGAGGCGGCAGGAGAGTGGGCAGGTGCCTGAGGAAAGATTGGAGAAGAAAACTTTGTGAAGAGAACTGAGAAGGTGGCCAGCGGAGCCCAGGTAATAACGCACCTCCCACTCTGCAGCTACCGCATCACCCAGGCATAAGAGAATCAATTAACCTGCCTTTTGTGTGCTCTACACACAGCTTGTGCATGTGTGGGCTAGGGGGTCTGAGTGCAGACTGGCTGGAAGAAATAGAGGATCCCTAGCCAAAGGGGACACACAGCTGCATAGAGACCCTGGAGGAGAGACTGGAGACGAAGGGGTTGGGGAAAGAACTGGAGGATTATCTGAGATCCCCAGAGCAGAGTCCCTCCCCATTCTGTAGTCCCCATTGGCACAGGAAGGCCACACCCCTGAAGAGGTAGAAGCAGGCTTGGGATCCAGAAGGCTCACAATTACGGTCCGCAGAAATAGTGGATCCCTAGCCAAAGGGGTCACAGAGCTGCCCAGAGACACTGGAGAAGAGACTGGAGGCAGAATTAACCAGAGAGTCCCGGAGATGACTTCTTCCCATTTCCGTAGTGTCCAGTTTGTGCGGGCAGGCCATGCCCACAATGAACCAAAAGCGGGGAAAGCACACAATAGAAGACCCTAAACTGACCAGTGCCCGGGTGCGCACCCAGGCGGCAGGTGAGCACCCCAGGTTGGGTGAGTAGGGCAGACTGGGTTGGGTGGGGGCACACGCCCAGGCTAGAACATGGGCGTGCTCTGGCCGGCTGGGATCCTGCCCTAGCCAGAAAGCATGCTCAAATGAGCCTGCATGAAAGTGCAGAGCGATTCGCAGAAATAGTGGATCCCTGGCCGAAGGGGTCACAAACCTGCCCAGAGACCCTTGAGGAGAGACTGGAGACAGAGGAGTTGGGGAGTCCCAGTGCTGACTCTTCCCCAGTCCACGATCTCCATCTGGCTCAGGTGGACTACTCCCTGTAGTGACAGCAGCTTATAAAGGCACAATAGTCCCACAATCAGGAGGCACTGTCTGCCCTGTGGTGCCTAAGGCTGACAGATGAGGACAGGGTGACCAGATTGACAATCACAGGAGTCAGAAAAAGACAGTAGATTCCTGGAAGGCTCAGACAAATGACTCAAGGTGAGATAGGGTCAACAACTGACGCCATCAGAGGCAGACCCAGAAAGAAAAGTAAAGAAAATAAATAAATAAATAAAAGACCCGCTTACTGCCATAGAAGTTTAATCCACAAAGTCAGGAAATGTAGATGGATCAATTGAAGCAGAAGCAAAAATAAATAAATTAAAAAAAGACTCTCCGAAAATGGGAAGGAAAAGAAGTTCCCCTCAAATGAGGGGAAAGGAGGAATCCCCACAGAGAGCTAAATGAAATAGAGGCAAGGGAACTATCAGAT